GCTCTTGGTAGAGTTTGTGCCATCTCTCCCAGCATCTTTCATGGCGCTTGTACACGGTGTGCCATTTCTCCAACAGGTTTGCATGCATGGCTTCAGTTGGCTTTCTTTGTTGTCTCAGGTCATAGTGACTTTGAGACGTCTTTGGTCTTACTGAGGCTTGAGCGTCAGCTTCTGTGTACAGGTCAAGGGAGGCTGTTTGCGGCGCTTCTCCTTGGCCGTCTGGTTGGGGTGGCTCGACTAGGCTGGTTGGTTGAACCCCTTCATCTAGATCAGCGGGACGCTTCGCCATGGTTAGGATAGGTTCAGTGATCTTCTCAGCTATTTTGAAGCAAATTTGAAGAACTTCTCTCTTTGACCACTAGGGGTCGCTACTTGCAGATCAGCTTCAGAGGTGCTGTCTGCGGGTGGGGGTGCCTGGGGGCGTTCTCCTGTGCTGCTTAGCTGTTTAGAAGTGAATTAGATGAACTTCTATTTTTGACCACTAGGGGTCGCTATCTGCGTATCAGCTACCGGGGTGATCTTCTTTCGAGGTACACCCTTTGTTCACTAGAGGGCTTTCTCTGGGCGTGATTAAAGGCTCGCGTGTAGCTCCTCCTTTAACCACTAGGGGATGTCAGAAGAGAGGTCAGCCAAATTCTTCCTATTACCACGTTCCTGCAGTGGCCACTGAGAGGCATGAACTCCCACCTGGTCGTTAAGTTGCAGGCTGGAACACACTGGGTATTCAGCTTGTGATATTAGGCAAGGATTGTTGGCAGTGCTTCCTTCTCCTTTGTCACTCAAAACTGGAAGAAACTTGGGTGTTCAGCTTGATTGGGTGAAAGCTCTAGTGGGGGGTGTATGCTGAATTAAATTATCAAATTGTTGTGATGTGAAAAGAAAAGAAAAATTTTTTTTTCAAGGTGTCACGTGCAGATTGGCCACCAGGGGGCGCTGCTGCCCTGCTAGTGGGGCTGGTTCTGCCCCTGCCTCCTTATTCCATTAACACCGGTTGAAATTCCAGGCATTCCTAAGGGAGGAGGGAGTTTAGCATCTTCCGCCAGTATTGTGGCTTTATGAGGGAGAGAAGGCAGCTTAATGGCTTAATTGCTCTCCTTAGCGACCAGTTGCTAAGGTAAGTGAACAAAGGGACGGGAAGGGGCCCCTCTGTGCTCTTCTCTGAAGAAGGAGTGATCTGTAGTTGCTTTGTTGATTTAAACATTTAGTTTTTAAATCCTTGTTGCATTAGGCAGGGTGAGAGACAGGCAGTGAAGAGTGTATAACAAGGGGGGGTGTTGCCCCTTCCACGCTCTACCTGAACTTTAGAAGCAGTTTAAACAGTTCTTTTGCAAACGGTCTGCTGAAGCACTTCTCTCACTGCCGGCAAGGAAGGGGGGAAGGGGGGTTTCTATGGCAACTGCTTTCCTCTCTTGAACGGAGATCCATGCAAGCAGCTTAATGGCTTGCAGAATTTACCAGCAAATTAACAATACAATGCACTGAATCACACCTTCTTTGAAACGCTGTCTGCCAAGCAGATACAGTGACATTTCTTTTGCAGGCAATCCTTGGAAACATTGAGTTACTTTCACATGCAAGAGAGACTTTTCTTTACTTCTTTAAAGTTTGAAGATCAGAGGAAAATTAATCTCATCAAATTGCTATAGCAGGAGATCAGAGGAGAATTAATCTGTCAATTTACTATTCTGTCCTAGACAGGAGATTTTGCCTTATTCCAATCTGGAACAGATAGATAACTCAGAGGAACAAACAGAAAATATTGCTTTATTCTGGGAATCCTAAACAATGACTTACAGTTTGTAGAGGTGCGTCCAAAATAGGTTTCTGCAATTTGATTGTCCCACAGGTAAATTGACATTAGATTTTCCCCTCTTCTCCCAAGCGTCACATGGTGGGGTGATCGTGGAGTCTGCAGCCGTGTGGCTGCATGTGAATGGCCAAAGAACAAAGGAACTAACCCCAGGCTAGTGTCCAGGGATGCCTTTTGAAGCTCCGCCCCCTGACCCTTGCTCCCTCCCCTTGCCCTGTTACATAGGGATACATAGAGTTATACAAGATACATAGAGTTATGGTTACATAGAGTTATGCAAGGTTAAATGGATCCATGTGATCCAGAACAACTGGTCTGATGTGAGCTCATTTATGGATTGATTGATTAAATTTGTTTGCTGCCCATCTCACCATGATAATGGCTTGAAAACTGAAGTACTGAAGCATCGCTTTGGTGCAAAAAAAAATATTGATATCAGAAGTAAAAAAAGAGGCAGTTTTGAAGGAAACATTACTTAGATTTGGGCATTGGCTTGTAAGAGTGCACTTCATCTGAAAATCCCTTGAATGCAACTGTTTAGCTGTTTAGCTGCCTTAGAACACACCGAGAGCCTACAAATCAAACTAATAATAAATGTGAGTGTGTATTTCCGTGTCAGATTGTGTCACCTAATTGTATTCTCTCAACAGATATGACCTTGTGTTGGATACCTTGGGTTGAATATCCCTTTCACACATAAGGCTCACATTCATGACCCTTTTTGAGGGACACGTTCTCATGACCTCACCTCCTTCTCACCTCACTATAGTTTTAGAAACTAGTCAGTCAGTTTTAGTTTTAGTTCACCAGCATAGTTGCCATATAAATTGAACATATATATATATATACAAATAAAGAACATCTTTAAAGTTGACAACTCTTATTTGTAAGGACATTTCCCTTTTTATCTTAACCAGAGATAATTTTGACTCCTTTCAAAGGAAGCAGCTTTGCAATGTTTTATGTACTCCAGAAGAAACCTTTCCAGATCCTACTGGTCAAAAGTTTCTTTTTTTCATCACAGTTTTATTCTATTTCAATAAATCCAATGAAATGAACATGTAATATATATTTTACAATAAAGTTTACTCTAAAATGTGGATATTTTAAGATCAAGCATTTATGAAGAATGGAGGAATGCATGTTAATTCCACTATGAGGAGAAAAACACTGGTTATCACTCTCCACTTTCATCTCTCCAGACGTTGTTAAGTAGAAAGCTACTTTATTGTAATCTGATAAATCAGAAGAAAAAGGGAGGAACTGAATGAAGCATCTTCCTGAAATTGTACCTCCTGCAACCATTTGGAAGTGGTCAGAGATTTCATATTTGCCTACTTGAAGCCCAGAGACGACTTGGCTGATGTTCATGTCTACCTCCATCTTACATGGATGGTGAGTCCTAAAATATTTCCTTTGGCATTTCTTCTTTCTCTGCTCAGTCTCTGCCTCAGTCTAAATGTGTGGGAAAATGCCATCCTGGGTTTGTCAAGCAGGGTCGAGAAGGAGAGCCAGTTTGCTGCTACGACTGCATTCCTTGTCCAGAGGGGACCATCTCCACTCAGGAAGGTGGGTGACACCATAGGGAAACTTTGATCAATATGCATGTTAAA